CTACTGTGTGTGAATTTTAAAAAGTTGAATCGTTTTTTTTCCCTTTTTAAAAACAAACGGAAAAGTTGAAATGCTTTTTGGTATCTAGTTAAAAGTAGACTGTACAAAATAAAGCGAACAAGTGGTAAAAGCATTCGTACGCCTGTTGAATTAACAAAAAAAAAAAAAAAAAAAAAAAAAAAAAAGAAAGTGCAAAATTGTGTTTACTCCTGCAGCCCCAGTAGTTTGTTATGCACCACATCAGTGAAATTTGGTTGCAATTTAAAAGAAAAAAAAAAATGATGTTGGAGCAGAAGAAGCAATGACTCCCAAACTTAAGCATCACCATCATCAAATAAGGCCAGGCATATTTGTGCGTGTGAGGTCAAGATTGTAGTGTGATCCTATAGCTGGCTCTTTCCATTTTTTAAAACAAATTTGAAAACAAAGTGTACACCATGGTTCCACAAAAAAAAGAAAAAAGAAAAAGACAATGAACCAATTGAGGGTTTAGGGGGGGTCTTTCTCTCTAGTCAAACCATACCTCTTCACAAAGCTTCTTTGCTGAAAGATCAGTTGGAGTGCAAGAGAACGGTGTAAAAGACCTTGCTGCTAAAATACTTTTGGAAATCTGAGCATTTCTGCTGCAGGATTATCTCCATTCTGAGCAAAAGGGACAATTTTAGTGTTGAGAAATGTTTAAGATACCATGCCTGGGTGATGGGCTATCAGGGGAGGCTGAAAGCTGTAGGGTTGGCGGATGTTTGAAAGGCCCAAGACAAGAAGCAGTGCGTTTGAGTGAGGGAAGATAACTGGGTGGGGTTTTTTTGTTTTGGTTTTTTTTTGTCTTTTTTTGTTTTGTAGGAATCTGCCGATGAGGGATCCATCATTTCAGGCCATGTATGAGTCTTTATTTTAGGTATCAATAGCTTCCAGGTGGATACCTTTGAGGCTTAGCTGGATAGGCACAACCCCTTGAGGCAGATGCTGCTTTGGGCAACTCCCTGACTGCTTGACATTTATCAAAATCAGTCAGTTTGATAAATCAGCTGCCTAGGCACTAAGCCAGACAAGAATATTGCTCAGAGACGTTGAGCATCCTTTTCATCCGTCACGCATATGAACACATTGCCTTGCTTGGCTATGCCTTGAGAAACTGTATCAACCAGTCAGGTTGCCTCTAAGGCATCTGTCACTCGGGTAGCCTGGGAGGCACTGAGCTGTGCTCTCAGGCATCAGTGTGGTGCTGGAGAAGCTGGACCACATATCTAAGGCGGTGCCGTAGCTCAGATGTGCAGCCCATTTCATTCAACATGCTGAGGAGGTACGTGCACGAGGCACGTTCCCGACTGATATAGGTGAGCAGGTAGGCGTCGTCAGAAGACTTGCACAGAATGATTTTGGTGTGGTCTGTGTAGAAGTTAACCTAAAAAAAAAAAAAAAAAAAAAAAAAAAAAAAAAAAGGAGAATTATAATCCAGCTGCTTTGAAAAAGTAGTTATGTAGACTCAGTGTCCCATGACTGGTTTTATTAATTTAATTATACAAACCTGTAGAGTATCATTATTGAAGAGCATGACAAGGGCATGGTCAGTCTTCACCCACTGGAGGAGCAGAGGAGGAGGAGCTGAGACATGTTCCTGACAATGCAGATCTCCACCCTGAGGAGGACAGAAATTATTTAGTTTCATTTGCATGAGGTCATAATCTCTTCAAGTGCCCTTTAACAGGTTTATGAAGGCACAAATCCTGGCTTACAGTTGTCATTAAATGCAAGTCAGTCACTCTAAGTAATGGCTGAAAACTAATGGGTGCTTTCCTACCTCCATTAGGTTCTCCTCCATGTAGTTAGCCATTAGTTCAACTATTTGTTTCTGGTTGCGCAGCTGCTCAGGTAGAGAGTTTGAAGGGAAGCTGAAGTGTTTGTTGTTGGTCAAGCAGTAGTGGACAGTCCTGTTTGGAAGAAGGGGGGGGAAAAGTTAAAAAAAATTGGAAGATGAACTTGACATCTTTTCCGTTTACACCATTGAGCCTAGTCACTAAGCAACTGACAATAAGCTTTAAGCACTGTAAATGTTGACATGACATCTTAATCAGTTGATTTTAAAGTACTTACTTGCGCTGGTCACAAAGACTGAGATGTGTTCCCTCATTGAAGAGCACGCCTACGTTTTGGTTTGAGAGCTGGTAGCCAAAGCCATACTTGTTGGAGTAGTCAACCCATTTAGTCACCCACAGGAAGGACTGCGGACTGGACAGGCAGGGTGGATTCCTATTGGCTGAAGAAAAAGATAGATAAAAATTAAAAAAAAAAAATGAGGATTAGTGAAATAATCTTAATTCAAAAAGTCAAAACATTGTTTCTCTTAACACATATGGTGTGTCTCAAATAAGCAGAATGAGTCAGCAGAAATTCTGAGGATTCAAGGAAAATATCCAGCTAGTTAAATTTAATGATTCTGCTGCATTTTCTAATCGCGGCAAACAGCAGAAGGACATTTTGCTTGATTTTATTCCTCTTTGGTCCACTCAAGTAATCCCACAAGGACAACAAAAAATTATGGCTGAGCTACAATCTTATGCATAAACATACCTGCAGGCATGGTGGCCAGGCAGTTCGTGAGAACTTTCAGGGCAGAGTCGGCAACAGCTGCAGGGGTCAGCACATCCTCACACGCTGAAGGGAAAAACCAACCAAAACGAGCAAAAATTAGAAACCCTGATTGCAATCAGCCACCACAACAAACACCAAATGTGTGTTCATAAATAACAAACAGAAACTTACGTTCAGTGCTGCTGGCCATGGTGCCCTTAAAAGACCGGGAAATGGACTTTCTGGATTCCTCCTCAGCAGGAGTCTGCTCCAGAGGCACAGAGCTCACCAGCTGACCGGTGGGAGACGTCACCTGAGCAACAACGAAACATGCGATTAGCACATGATGAGTAAGAGCAACAAAGTGAAAGAGCAGTGTGTCACATGCCTGAAAGGGTAACCAGAGATAAAGGGAATGAGCTCCTTTAATCCTTGCATGCACACTTTTGCTGTGTCAGCGCTGAAGCTCATTTATTCAATTTCTGCAACATCTTAGACTAAATGCAGTGCATCTCGTTGCCACTGCAAGGTGGGGGAACTACTTTCAGCTGCACGGTTTCCCTTTGTACACGTTGCAGGCATGCTGCAAGCTTGACACGTAGTTTCTAATGTCACGTTACCACAAGCGGTGTGCGAGTAGGTTTGTTTTTTCCCCCGCCGCAAACAGACAAACATGAAAACAAGCTAAAATGAGCACTACTTTCAGAGTACACTTGTACAAATCTATATTCATCTGCGCTTATTAATGACAATCTGGTTCCTCAGGACAGGCTTCTTAAGACAAAGGAAGAGTCATGCATGACAGCAAAAACTGTAGCTCCTTTTTGGCTCTATAAATAAACTAGACGAGCCTGATTGGGGATCGGCCAACTGAGCATCCTGCAATTGTGGCATATACTCTAGGTTCTGTTCAGTCTTTTTAAAACAAATACGTCATGTCGTTACTGAGCAGAGAACATTTACCCCCCCCCACCCCCCACCCCTAAGTGTGCAGTAACAGCTTCTTCAGATTCTTCTGATAACAAAGTACCCGAACAAACACCCAGATGAGCTTACTAGAGCTTATCAAGTTTCAAAAGCTACCACCAACAGACTGCTACATTTCTTCTGGTCTGAACTAGTTTTTTTGTCATGCATCTTACATTATTCTGAAGAAAAACAAATTTAAAACAACGCATCTTTAAAAATTAAGACATCTTTTCCACCCCATTTCTTTAACAGTTCCTTTTTCTAGGGCACTTTTACTATTTAAATGAGCATGCTAATGGAAAGCAATTCTCAAATGTAATGGAGGCTGTATGCTATTAAAATATGCATTTTGTGTTTTCTCCAAGCCTTTAGAACGGGTGTAATTGCATGTGAACTGTGTGCATAACTGGCTGGAATTACCCAAATTAAGGTAAACCAGGTCAAAAGTTTCTCACAGAGGAAAGAGAGAGAGGGGAAAAAAAAAAACAAAAAAAAACTACCTCGTTGTTTCCCACTGTTTTGTAGCTGATCTGCCGGTTGATGGAACATTTAACGATGCCCGACACCAGCTTGGAAATATCCTTGTCCTCTTTGTCCTCGCATGGAATTTTTTCCACTGTGAAAACACGACACACTGTAGTCACAACAAATATGTTTAAAGGCAGGACTGTTTAAATAATACAGCAGCTCTTGGATATTCTTAAAACTAAATCTGAAAAACTAACCCCCCCCAATCGCTCATGCTGCTTGCTCACCTTTTGCTTTCTTCTTTCCAAATAGGCTTTTGGCCATTTTAGTGAAGAATTTCTTGGCAGGGCTGGGAGGGTGTAGCTCTGGCACCATTGTACAGCTGCTGGGGGGAAGTTTGTCAGGAGTGAAACCCTGAGAAAGAGGCAAAGGTGATGCATTAAAAAAAAAAAAAAAAAAAAAAAAACAGTGAGAAAAAGTGAAGAGGTTGGAGCGTGCCCACTCTGTTCTCAGTTGAGATAACAGATCAAGCACTGACATTTTCACACTCCTTCACCTCGAGATAAAAGTGTCACAACTGTGTTTCGTAACACTGGCAAGAAATTTCCCGAAGGTCAACATACTTTGAAGAATTCGTGGTTGAGGATCTGATCCAGCGTGAGTCTGTCACTGGGATTCTTCTGCAGGATGCCTGAGATGAGTTTCTGAGCAGCAGGGGAAAGCGTGGAGGGCAGGTTGTAGCGAACTTCTTTAATACACTTGTACGTCTCTTTCAAGTCGAGCGTCTCAAAAGGAGGGTTTCCACACATCAGTGTGTACCTGTGAGAGAGTAATCAAGGCAACAGTGAGTCAGCTCAAAAACAAGAGTGAGTGATTTAGGGGACAAAAAAAAAAAAAAGTCCCCACTTTCCCGACCGACTGAGACGAAGTGACGCCAAGGTCAAAATCCCCCCCAACACACTCTCTATGAAACCGGGATAGTTCTTATAATCATCTTAAAGTAAAAAGACTCACATGACACATCCGAGGGACCACACGTCAGACTCTGTGCCGTGGCCCTGTCTGTTGAGCACCTCAGGAGCCAAGTAATTGGGAGTCCCACAGATTGTTCTAAGAAAAACAAAACAAGAACCATATATGGGTAAGATGTAATGCTTCAAACATTTAAAACTGGTTTGGTTTCAACATTAGGCATACAGGTAATGTTTGAAATATTTTTTCTGTCACTCTCAGTCTTCTGGTATTCCACAGGAAGCTGTCTAACAGGAATTGAAACTGTGCTCTAAGCGGTACTTTCAACTGTCAGTTGGAAACCGGTTTAGTTAGGTACTTGCAGGAGGAAAGTTGTGGGAGGAAGATTATGCTTAGTAACTGATGTAATGGTTTAGGTTGAGGGTGCTTGTGCTAAAATAGGCCATTAAAAGTCAGATTTTTAAAAGATACATCTGAGATGGGGCCAAAAATACTCATAAAAAAAATTTAAAAAAGGTAATATGGAGAGACCTTCGAGAGCTTTGTTTCATTATAACAATCATTACAGTAGTATGATCTATGGGCCCCAATAAGCTCATTGGTATCCTCCAGCAGATAAACATTTTAAGCAATTAACTTACTTTTTTCTTTGTTCAACTGTCTCCAGCTTGGCAGCGAGGCCAAAGTCTCCCAGCCGCAACTCCATGTTCTCATTGATGAAAAAGTTCCCTGAAAGAGACAAAAGCATTTGTCCGGTCAGCATTCCACAGATGACACGCATGCTCGTCCAAAGTCACAGATTCCTGGGATGCTTTGTGTATGCGTTAAGCCGCATTTTCAACCACGTACCTAGTTTGAGATCCCTGTGCAGGATTCCTCTGCTGTGGAGGTACTTGAGGCCGGATATGATCTGTCTGAGGTAATAGCGCACTTCAGGCTCTGTGAGTGTGTGTCTCGCCTTCCAAATGTGTGCCAGGGACTGCAGAGAGAGCAATGAGTGAACCGTCAACCCTGCATCAGTGAGTGGGACTGTACAAACACTGCTAGCACATATGCATCCCTGCAGCTGCATAAAAGAAATCTTTTTTTTTTTTTTTACATTCACTAGGAAAACAGTAAAAATCTGCCAAGACCCCTTTTGAATATAGCGTGCAAAGCAGCACTGTAGGGTAATACAAGAAATACTGTTAGTGCAAGCAGAACACAAAGCAGCGCAGACTGTTCTAGAGTTCTAAAGTCTCACCTTCCGACTGCACAGCTCGAGGAAGATGTAGATGTTTTCTTGGTCCTCGAAATAGTGGGAGAATTTCACCACATGCTTGTGTGACAGCGTTCTGTGCAGCTCGATCTCGTTCGTAATCTGTCAACATATGACAATTCATCAATCGGTGAAGACGTTTCAATGTCCCAAAAGAAAAAACAACAACCCAGACATTGATTTCCAGTTATGCAAGACACGGGAGACACAAAGATTGGTGATCGTGTACCTTGTCTCTCTGGTGTGGTTTGGACACCCTGCTCTGTGGGATCACCTTCACTGCATACATTTTGTTGTTGGACAGGTCTGTCATCTCATAGCATCGAGCAAAGCCGCCCTTTGGGGGGGAAACAAACAGAATGATCAATTTACACAAGCAGCAGGTTTAAAACCCACACACTCAGTCTCAAGGCAAGTCTGACCTGAGGAAAGGTAGCGATGCAGTCAAAACAATTTCAGGAACAATAATCGAGGTAAGATTAAAGACATAAAAATGATTGTCATGACTATAAAACGATCCATCTGATGCCTCAGGCATCTTTTATTGGCTTGTATGCGCAGATATGATGAAAAACATCATCCCCCAGATGCGTTTACTGCCGCTTATACAGACATTTTTTCCCCCCTTTCTCTCCAGGATGTGATCAAGACTACACATGCTCGGGTACATGAAGGATGAGGCAGCCTGAGCTGCTGCATTCATTAACCGTGAAACTGGCGGAGACGTTTCTAGCTCTGCGGCAGGCAGAGGAAGGAAAAAAAACTGGCTGCAGCACATCGATACGACCAGCAACACGTTGATAAACTCGCTTCCATAGACACCGTTTCAAAAAGCGATGCTGATGCATCATCATCATAATCATGAGGGGCAGAAATTATGCTGTGGTCAGACAAGCGTGTCTTTGGTTTAACGGCAGGCCATTAAAATACGAGAGGAGGCTGTAAACGTTCATCATCGGTGGAGATCTTTTTTAAATTATTTATTTTTTATGGCTAAGCATGTGTGCGCACCGGAGCTGGGCACACCTTGCGTCTGATTCATTCAGCACTGACGAGAACAGCAAGGAGGAGAACGGGGGGGGGAATATTGGTCACATCCACCACGAGGTCATTCTCTATTCCCGCATCACATCACAAGCACACCTGGAACATGGCTCATAGTGATTTTAAACAGAAAGAGAAAACAAAAAAGGAAAGGTGGGGAAATAAAATCAGCCCCAAACTGCGGCTAATTAATTCAGATTCTAGATCCATCTGCCTCCTCAGTCAAAACCGACGCAGCGACGCACAGACACATGGAAAAGGAGAAAAGGGGCGAAGAAAAATGTATGAAATGCGCGTACCTTTCCCAAAAGCTTCCCTTTAATGTAGGACCTCCCCGTCTTGAGATCCGTCACAACCTGAGCCAGCTCCGGTTTGGGTTGATCGTGTTTATTCCTGCTGTTTTTCGCCGGGGCAGAAGTCTGTTGGGGTCCACCACGCTCCGGAGCAGGCTTAAATAAATCCGCATTCATGGTGTGGCACGAAATCCGCTGAGCCGCGGTGAAACAGCCGGTACTCATTTATCACAGCGGAATAAACGATCGACTCGTACGTGTCTCCGTCTCGCTTAAATATTTCTTCTTTTTTCCCGTAAAAGTGCCAAGTGCGTCTTCACGGTACGTCCGTCTCTTTCAATTTTATCCAACTGGTGTGGACGAAAGGCGAACCCTGGCTATATAGTGGCACCGACGTCACGGAGTCGTGGGCGGGCAGGAGGTGGTGCATTGGTGGAGAAACTCCAGATGATTTGCTCAGACAGAAACTCAATCAAATATTGATGTGGATTTTTTTGAGAGGAAATATGAATGAAAGAGCTGATAAAAAAGAGTCGCTTGGTTTTGGCTCAAGTCTCTGAGACTGCTGGGAGGCCAGTGACCCGGACAGTGTTTTAACCCTTTATATACAAAAAGCCACTTTACGAAAAGAGGTAAGTAAGCATGTAAGGAGAGAAGAAAGTTTTTAGACTTTTGTAATTTAAAGGAGACTTTGTTAAGAAGAACAAGACTTAAACGCAGGAAAAACCTTTTACTAGGAAAGTATTTCATTAGATATAAGATGGGACTGGAACATATCATTTCCATTCTGCAAATAAATGTATGAATCAGTTGTTAGGGCTCCACAGATTATATATATTATATGTGACCATATTCTTACAAAGAAAAAAAGTGTTATTCTACTAAAAAAAAAATTCCAAAACTTTCAAGGCTCCTACAGTAAAATCCTGGCTTAGATTTCCCCTGTGTGCAGTCCCCCCGGAGAAAGTCCTGAATACGGCTGCCACCTGGTGGTCAAAACGTGAAGCTCTCAAGCTCAGGTCTGAGAGGACTTGAATGTGCAGTATAAATGACTTATGAAAAATATTTCTCTAGTGACACAGTAGTGGTCAGTTATAAAGCTAATGTGCTTTCTTATTTTTTAAAAAGGTAAAAGAAACTAAAGAAAAGAAAAGCCTGCTCTAACAGCATTTGCACTCGGCTTTGCAAAGTGGCCTTCGCCCTTAATATTTGGCAGTTTTGTCCAGTGTTGACTGTGCAAATACAGTAATAAAGACCTGAAATAAAAAGTGGGCCTACTATTAATTCCAATTCTGGATCATAGCTGTTGGTGAAGGCCTGAAGAAAGCCTGATGCCTGATAGAGTGGTCACCCTCTGTTTGGTGCTCTTTGTTTTGACCATGATGGGCCTCAAGGACAGCCCAGCAGCTTCTTCATAATGTTGATACTGTGCATCTTTATCTGGAGAGTAGATGAGACACCCGAGGGAGTAATGCAACTCTGTGACACTAGAATTTCAGAATGGCTTGACCATGCTTACGGTAATATCACCACACCTTGCTAGTAAAGGCTTGGACCCCTTTGCCTTCAGAATGGTCTTAATTCTTCATGGCACAGATTCAACAAGGTGCTGGAAACATTCTTCAGATATAAATCTCCTGATCCACCAGATCCCAAAGGTGCTTTAGACTGTGGATTCCATTGGAGATATGGTGCATTATCCTGTAGGAATCAGCCCTTGGAAGACATGTCCACTGTGGTCATAAAAGGATGCACAATTGGAGGCAATCCGTTATCCATTTTTGGTGAGTCGGTGTGAGCTGTAGCTACACCTTCCTGTTCTTAGCGAAAAGGAGCAGCAGTAAGTGTGGTCTTCTGCTGCTGCTTCAAAGACGGCCGTTCACAGACGCTTTTCTGCCTCGATCACAATGATATTTTAAAATTATTGTCACCTCAAAAACCATACCATGTCAAAAGTCACTTTAATCACCTTTCTTCCCCGTTCTGATGCTTAGTTTGAACTTCAGCAGGTGGTCTTGACCCGATGCCTATATATCTGAATGGAGATGCTGCCAAACAAGTGGGTAATTAGATATGCACGTTATCGAGCAGTTAATAACCATGCATTTAATAGTGGCCAGTATATGCATATTTTACACAACCCATCCATGTCTCCAGGACAATTACTTCTGCATGAGGCAAATCACATCTTGTAATTTCATAACACATCTAAGATACGACTCTGTGAAATATTAACTGAGAAGGCTAGCTGAAAACGTCAGCCAGTGGATATAAATGGCAATAAAATGCTTAATAACTTTTAAATCTAATTTTAAGCTTGAAAGACAGACGGAAAAACTCTGAGTTCAACAGCTGTATTTATGAGAGCAGAGAACAACCAGCAACAGTGAAAACACACATTTTTTACAATGTCGGAAAAAAAATCTGCAAAAATCAGTCACATCAAGTATTTCAGAACATGTAACTTAAAAAAAGGATTGTGGAAAATGTAGTTTTAAACATACCTGCATGCAGTACAGTATTACACTAGGCTGACACAAGATAGTTTACTGTCTTTGTATGCTACGTGACTTATTTGTGGATTTACAAAATCATACAGCTGATGTAAAGATTAAAAAAAAGAAAGAAAACTATTCTCAGGTTTACTTCATAAGTAAGAGAACTTTGGCAAATTTATAGCTGACAAAAAAGAAAGAAAGAAAAGAAATATTTGCCAAGTTAATCTGTACTGATTTTTAACTACCATGGAAAATGAACAATTACATTTACCCTGATCCAATTTAAACCACAACAAGACATTTTATTGAAACAAGCCAGGACAACAAAAACAAGAGCTGTGAAATGACTGAGCAGTGGTCCTTTAACTCTTTAAGTGCGACTTCACAAAACACATAGGGGAATGTATGTAAGTGGGGAAGCAGACAACATTTTCCCTGCTTTCTACCCACAGGTTGGACTCTTAACGTCAGCTGTGATGAAATGTGTGCGTTCTTGCAGTCTTCAGGTCATCACGTGATGGACTCCATCCTTTTGCTTGAGTGACAGATGAGTTGTAGCCCATCACTAAGAACACCAGCAGCCTGGTTTTCAAAGCAGGGCCAAATTGAGGCCATCCCGAGCTTAGACATTACTTTAGACAAATTATTTACGAGCGGTGTATGTAGACTTTACTTTGAATAATTAAGTCATGCCTGCTTCAACCTTTGGAGCTCTCATTTGGTCCTGCTGTGGAAAAGTGGCAATATTTAATAGTCCATCATCTCCTCTCCTCTTAATTTCTTCTCTTGGGACTCTGTCCAAGCTTTGTTGATTGTTCTCTTCATCTCGTCGTCTCCCTCTGCATAAATCTTTTTCAACACATTCATCAGGCCCTCGCCGGGGTCAGCATTATCGTCAAGGCTGGGTTTTCTGTAGAAAGGCGGCAGGAAAATACTTTAATGGTGCAAATAATTCTTTGGATTGCTCTCATGTAGTATGTGTGCACCCAATCACTGCACTGCAATCACAGTGGCTTGAGACACAGCACTGTTGCTGCACTTCATTTCACAAACTAAAATCAATAAGCACATTTCTAACTCACTCTTTCTCTTTAGACTGCTTTTCCACCGCCGTTAGACAGTCCCACTTCTTTGTTGACTGCTTCTTGCACATGACCAAGACCATGTCTGTTTTTATCTGTTGCAGAGAGCAAAAGACAGTTTCAGAGTGTGGACAACAGACTGGCAGCTCAAATCAAAGACGAAAAGTGACAGGAACACTGACACTACATTTAACAAGGTTTACGTATAATCACAATAGCCACCTTAATAAGTTAATGCAGTATATTTAAACTCATTGCTACAAGCTTAAAAATAGGGTGTCTGCTGCCCCCTAGTGGCCACACATAATTTTGTTTTAACTTTAAATGTTTTACTTTATTTGGCTCTTCATTGATGCTTACTTTTCTCTGACAAACAGGTCAATCACTAAGAATCACTACTCCAGTTTTTCACTGCAAAATGACTAATATTTCCTGAAATCTTAAAATAAATACAAATAAATGCATCTATTTAAAATGATGCACAAGGTACCTTTTCACCTGCTTTCTTAGCTATATTGATGCGTACATGATTTTATTTTATTTTTCCATTACTCTTCATCAAGCAGCAAGCTTACATTACAACCATCTAACATTTTTCTCTGGTTTAAAAGAGATTTAGTGTGATGGCTGCAGGAGGTAACATGGCTTAGAACTGTTGATATGATGCAGAATATGCAAAGGCAATCTTAAAAAATAAAAACTTTGATTTGTCCTGCCACAGAGCTTTTGAGTAGCACGGAGTGGCTGCCTGTCAAGCATTACCCTCTTGACAGACAGCAGAGGAAACCTGCATTATGCACAGCTTCATGCAAACTGATGTTTTAGCTGTGAGAGAAGGAGAGAGAGAAGAAGTATATACTGCAAGTATTTGGTCGATTACTGGCCTGTAATATCAGAGACCTACACAGTTTTGTGAAATATGGGGATAGTCTGCTGAGAGAGATTGCAACACTGCTTCCTAAAGCACACCCACTCATCTAAGATGACAAAGACTTTTGACCCAAAGCCAGCAACCGATTTCTGAAATACAAACATCTCATGGCCGCTGGACTGAGGAGAAGAAGCTGAGTAAGCAGCAGATGATTTGTTTACCTTTTTGTAGCTGTCCTGTTCATTGATTGGATACAACAAGTTCAGAACTGTCATTTCGTGGTTTTTGCCATCTAGATCCTTCACCAGCACAGAAAATGACCTGCAACACAGACAAGGGGCAAATTCACGTGCACTGATAAGGGAACAGGAATGTATAAACAAACTGAACACTATGCTAATTATCAACTCACCGTTCTGTAAATTTGACCTCCACATTTTCTGCTGATATTTTGTGCACATCTTTCAATGCCAGATAAATTTTGACAAACTTATCTGACTGGTCCCATGCTGCAGAAAAGATGATACACATGTGAACAATTTTGAAATACTGTTTTTTTCCCCTCCCCAGCTCTTGAACGCATCTTAACCGCTTGGTTTTCTCAGTAATGTTTGATAGTGCTACTCGATAACTGCCCCATACCATAGCTGGTAATCTTGACAGTGTATGCTGCCTTAGTGGCTGCAGATGGGTCTGCCTCCTTCCTAGCCTGTTGTTCTTTTTGTTGTCGTTTAGCTGCGAGCTCCTTCTCCACCTTTTTCTGCTCCTGTTTAAGCAGATCCTGAACTCTTTTCCTCTCTGCCTTCTCCAAGAGGGACCCCAGCTCCTGCAAGTCTGCCTCCAACTGTTTAATCTGTATGAGGGGAACAATACAATCACTGAGACATGCACATCCACTAATAGAGTAGTGCTGTCGGTTTGAATCCATCTACCAAACATTTGTTTAATTAAAAAAACAAAAACAAAACTATATAAGTAAATAAATGTGCAAAAACTAACATTTCATTTCTAAATAAAAATTTCTATTGTAACTTAATAAATAGTAAGAACAAAGTGCCTTCTACAATAATTATATAGTCACTAACCCATTTCCCACAATCAACTCTCGAAGTCATATTACTTTATTTAAATGTAGTCTAACCTAACTCACAACACACGTTGGAACTATGCATTTGTCTGCGATTTATCTGGCATCCAAACAGCTTAGAAGCCTGTACATATTACAGTTATTCACGTCTTGAGAGATCCTTTACAGATGTATTGTAATATGTATGTATGTATGTATGTATGTATGTGTGTATAATTCAAATGTAAAAGTGCTTAATGATACTGTACATGAGTGGGTCTAGTAACATCTCCAGACAGCTAACAGAGACACCGAGTAACTACCGTACTGATTTGTTTAGCAGCGCAGTAGTTGTTTTACACTGAATGATGTTGCTAGAATGTTCTGGTAGTCCACTAAAAGCTAACAGCTAAGTTGGGCCGCGAGCTACTGGCACCCACCGCCACGCACGACTACCGACTGTAATCGTATTTGCCAGACAGGCGTTTTGTTTTAGTTTACAACTGTAACGTTACCCTGGAGAAAAAAATAATAATTTTTTTTTATCAGGCATCACGCAGCTGCTCGCAACGGGTTGATAGGACTGTCGTTAGCAAGCATTGCACTAATTCCACTGTATCTATGTAAATCCAGCTACCGCAGCTAAACCTTAAAAGATGCAGTTTTGCTGAACACTAAACTGAATGAAACGATTCTGCTCACCTGTTCGGTTAAATCCATTCAGGCTTATCAGTATCAGCTACACTATGAAATGCCGTTCCGGTTCTTCCTCACTGCTCTCAGACTACTTTCCAGCGGCGCTTCTTTCCAAAGCTCTTCCGTCTTCTTCATTTGGCAATTTGCAAGGCCGATTACAGGTGTGCTACCGCCACCTACTGTACTGAAGTTTAATCATTGCTAAACAGCAAAGTGTCCTTGTATGTAGAGCATGACATGAATTAAATGAACCGTTTTAAGGTAATTTCAACTTTTTTACTGAACCTTTTAATGTAAAATCAAATGAATGTTACAGTTTGCTGGCTTTCAACAAACTTGCACCACTTTAAGAGACACATTCTATTTAATTGCATTATATATACGCACATTGGCCACTCGATCCTTTATCTGCTCATTAATGCAAATAACTAATCATGGCAACAACTCAGTGCATTTAGACAAGCAGATGTGGTGAAGATCAAACTGAGCACAAAAACAGGGAAGAAAGTTGATTTAAGTGACTTTTGTCTGAGTCTACTGGGACTGCTCTGAGCTGATAGGAAGGCAACATTAACTCAAATAGTCACTCATTACAATCATGGTAGAAAAAGCAGAAGCAGCATCTCTGAATGGATAACATAGAGGAAAATTTGTGTTTTGAATGATATAACCTCTATTAAAAACATGAACATAAGTGCACTCACACACACACACAGGTGTACAAGCAGGTACTCACAGACACACACCATCTTGGTTGGCTGCTGCCTCTAAACGTATCATGAATTATTATTACTGTATGCTGCTTAGCAACATTCACTATTTATTATTTACTGTTACTGATGCTTATGTTGGTTGTTGCTGTGGTTTCCCTACTGTGTTGTCTTCTTTTTCTCTCAGCAGGTGATCACGCAGATTTTCATCATCTTTTCTCTCTCTATCCCTCTTCTCTATTTATCTTTCCCTCTCCTTCTGTTAATTCTCTTCCCAACCTCTCTTTCTTTCTCTTTCCCATCCCCTGGTCCTGTCTGTTCTGATTGTAATAACTCAAAATGAAAAATTAATTAATAACAACAACAAGAACAATAATAATAATAATAATAATTATGAAGGTTGAATAAAATATGACAATCAAGTGGACCAGTATAGTAAAAGCCGTAATAGTCTACTTGGGAAAATAAATCTGGTGGGCATTTTTCTTGGCCTTCAGAAAATAATTCTGCTACAGTGCCGGAAAGGACACAAAAAAATTAAATAAAATAAATCTCAGAAAACCAGTTTCTTTTCATACTCCACTGATTTTTTTCCACAACACACAACATATCAAAACAACAGCAGCAGAAAGACATCGAGTGCCACTTGTCACCTAAGAACAGGAAACTGAGGCCACAATTCACACAGGCTCACCAAAATTGGAAGAAGATTGGAAGGAAGATTGTTGCCTGGTCTGATTAACCTCATTTCTGTTGGAACATTTTATGGTAAGACCAGAATGTGGTGCTAACCAAATGAAAGCAAGGACCCATCCTGCTTTGAAGCAAAAGTTCCACACGTTTGGTATTTGTTACATCTTAGATACTTTTCAACTACATAAAAGACCAGTTATATATTACATACAGAATAAATGAAAAGAAAGTAAGTGAAAGGAAAATGTGGGCTTTCTTGCCTATGAATTACATCTCATTTTAGGGCAGCCATTACCTTAAAAAATAACTTACTTCTTTTCCTGTGACAGTAGAAGATGCTAAGCTTTTATAAAACTTTTATATTACACATAACATTTTATAATAAACCAAGACACTCACAAAACTGTAATGTACAACAATATTCATTTATTTATCAGTACTCATATCAACTTTCTCATTTTTTATATTAAGAAGGCTAATAAGGAAGCAACAGCACCTTACTGACCAAGGAAAACATAATTTACACAAGTAATCAAATGTAGCTGTCTACTGATAACCACTGAAAAATCTTGTTTTTCAAAATGTCCAGTGAGACCTCATCACCACCTTGCTCTCAGAATCCCAGACATCTGATTGTGGTCAGCTAGATGACGAAAGACAATACGGCTAAGACGCCACCTCCGCTTCACTCCTCGTGGTCGGGAAGTCATCACACACCTGTTACGTATCCTCACAGGGCAGCTGTCTCTCGGTAGTGCTGAAATCTCTTTGTCTGCTATCTCCTGCAAAAAAATGAATAAATAAGTAAATAGACATTAATACTTCACTCTGTACTAATGTCTTTTCAAGGATTCATTCTGTAACAGTTCAATCATTACCATTGCTGAGTTATTTATTAATACACATATGACTTAGACGTCCTTCTTCAGTGTATACCTGAAGCTCTTTGGGTAGGATGGTGTTCTTCCTCAGTGCGTTAATTCGTAACCTCTCATCAGCATAGTCAAAGGCCATCTGCCTCCTCTTGACATCCCTCAGCATCCTCCAGTCAACATAGTAACTTCTCACCTGCTCCACCGCCCCCCAGCAGCTCCTCAATGCCTGCAAACAGTGCTCCTTCAGTTAGTGAACAAGTATTTAGTCTGCCTCTGTACTCAGTTACACACACTGTAGCTCTAACTGTCTGAACCACCTTTAGGCCCTAACAATTTTCAGACAAGCCAGAGCAGTCTAAACCAAAAGCTGATTATTTCGGCTCATCTGCACTGCCGTGTGCCATTTGGACAAGCTTTCACTTGAAAATAGAGCATCTGACCTGATGTTAGCAGTTTCAGTTCTATGACAGAAATCAAGTTTGCCCGAATTAGAGCATCAGGAGCCCAAGACAACAGACACACAGATGTGAGCCAAAAAATAAATGAAACCTCCTTCGTACGCTTCCGAAATAACAGAGGGTGAGAGACCCTGGTGATTCGGACATAAAACTACTACATGCAACTTCTGATGATCCATTGAAAACGTGCCTTCCTATGACGCTTGCATATTCCACACAGATCGTGTTAACAAAAGGCTCACTTTGCAGGTTCAAGTAAAACTAAACAGGGAATAATTTTATCCATATAACGAGCGCTCAGCTGTAAAAGAAATCGGTTGCTCTTGAGGGATAACGGGCCACAATTAATGCTAACAAAGTCATCATTTTATTCAGCTTAAATATCTTGCTTTCAAGATCATTAGAAGCCATAGCGTAAAAAGAAGTTAATCACTCAACCTTTCTTGCTAGAACAAGCACGGGAACTGAGCATATACTACCTGTCCTCTTATAATTTTCATGTATTATAAGAGGACATGTATCATGTCCTGTTAAACCCTTCAAAGAACCATACTGAGCCAGGTTTGACACATAGCAGGCTTAGTAGCCGCGAAGCTAACGTCAGAACGCTAGTTACATCAATAAAACAGCCAATGTTACATTTATCGACCGAAAGTCAGAGATAATAGATTGAGTCTGAATGAAAACACAACCTCAGCTAATACATGCAAGATTACCGTAAATGCTTTACCTGCTTTGGGACGCAGACGGTGGAATAAAGGGCATTTAACCCCAAACATGTTAGTCTGTTAACCGCCATATTGGATTCGACTTGAGCGAAACCACCGGACATTGAAAGAAAAAACACTCAACTTTACCGCCACCTATCGACCTGGAGTGTGACGAGATAAAATGAGACGTACAGTGCCTAAAAAAATGTTAAATTTATGAGCGAAAACGCGACACATTTACAAGTAAAGCGTGACAAATTTATGAGAAAAAACTCGTAAGAGGGAAAAATAGGAAAATTGTGTCTTTTTTTTCAATCAAAGACAGACTTCGCCTTACTTTTCTATCTTAAACTGCAAGGAAGTTCACATATACTACAAGCTGATTTCTGTTTAAATCGCTATGTGAGTGTATTTTGTTTTTCACGATTTATCTTTGTAGACAGCTTCTACAGACACCTCCCAACCAGTCCCGTTGATAATGGGATTTCAACATTTCTTATTGATCCCAAAACATTCTCTTCAACCTAACCATGAACACTTAAGTGATATTGCTCCCTTTCTTTAAAAAAAAAGAAAATAAAAATTGTTTGCAAGCTTTTCTCGCATTATTCTTAGATTTTTTTGTCTCAAAAATATATTTTTTCTCACTTTTACTCTGTCCACAGTGTAAATCACAGTATAATAAACAAATATTATTTAAATAACTGATGCTCAAGGCAGTTTATTTTGTAAGGTTGAGACCTTACAGCAGGGGTGTTCAACTCCAGTCCTCGAGAGCTATGGCACTGCAGCTTTTAAACACATCCTTCTTCCTGAATCAAATAAATAGCTTATTATCAGGCCTGAAAACTTGATGGCATGCTGAAGAGGTAATCCAACCATTTGATTCAGCTGTGTTGGAGTAGGGATGCATCTAAAAGCTGCAGGACAGTAGCTCTCGAGGACTGGAGTTGGACATCCCTGCCCTACAGTAACAGAGAGAAAACCCCAACAATTAAGTAACACCCTATGAGTAAGGGCTTGGTGGCAGTAGGGAGGGGAAAAAAACCCTTTTAACTGGAAGAAACCGTGGCACAACCAGGCTCAGGAAGGGGCAGCCATCTGCTGTGACCAGCTGGGGGAGGAAGATAGGACAAATGACACTCTGGAGAAGTGAGCCAGAGATGAATGATAACCATTAATTAAATGCAGATTTGTGTATAAACACATATAGAGTGAAAAGAGGTGAGTGAAGAAGAAACACTAAGTGCTAATTATGGTGAAGTTAATATTAGATTTTTGCAGCAGCATTACATTTGTTATTACATTTACTTCATCAGTGCTGAACCTGCTGTGATTAGTTTTGCTTTGAGTCTCAAGTAACTGATAATCCCCTTTGAGAACATGCTGTAACAATCTGAATTTACTTGAATTTTTAGTCACGTGTAGTACCATTTGACCACCAGTAGGTGGCAATGTAGTCCTTTCATGATAAGGTCATACTCTCTCTCTCACCACCCACCATGACCAGGGCCCCTGTTCCAGCTGAATCTAAACCTTGTGTCTTAAATCTTCTGAAGCACAGAGTCATCTCTGCTTCCCCAGCACTTCTAACAATGAAACCCTTGTGTTTTAAGGAAGCACATATATTAAACAGTGTGCTCTTCTTCTTTCAACATATGTCTCAGCAGGGTGCTGTCTTTAATAGATAAAAAAAA